AGGAGTGAACAGCAGATTGTAGTTATACTGATTCAACCTGTTAGCCCATCTGTGAAGCCTGAGGGGCTTGTGGCCCGTTCCAGCAGAGAACAGTAGTGAAAGCCTGGTGGTCTGTTCTGAGAGTAAAGGATCGTCCATATAAGTACATGAGCCAGCAGTCACATGCCCAGATGCACGCCAATGCCTCTCTCTCCTACTGAGTATTTCTGTTCCGCAGTACTCAGAGCCCGTGAAGCAAAAGCAATAGGCCTTTCAATGACATCATGCAGCTGTGACAGGACTGCTCTGACTGCTATTGCGTCACATGTCACCAGGGTGGGGCTGGAGAGATCAAAATGAGCTAGTGTTGATGGTGACGTGAGAAGGTGTTTGAGTCATCGAATAGCCTGCTCACAATCTGCTGTCCATGCCCAGGGGGTGTTATGCTTGAGTGGTGTGATATGATACCTGAGTTGGACACCTGAAGACCCACAAGGTCTATTGCTGGGACAGCAAACACACATTTTTCTGTGTTCAATGTCAGATTGTGTCTAGACAGAGCTGTGAACACCAGTCTGAGGCATTCATCATGAGTGGCAACGTTCTTTCCATGTATTACAATATCATCTAAGTACACAGCCGTACCCGGGAGCCCTGCTAGGACAGTAGCCATGATTTTCTGAAAGCAACTAGGTTCTGAACTTAGGCCAAAAGGAATCCTCTTAAAACGGAACAACCCCATGTGAGTCACAAATGCAGTCAAGTTTCTACTGTCCTCGTGCAGGGGTATCTGCATGTAACCTTGCTTAAGATCCAGCTTTGTGAACACTGAGGAGTCATAGAAGAGTGTTGTGAGTTCCTCAATTGTCGGCAATGGATATTTGTCTGGCATCACAGCCTTGTTAGGCCCCCGAAGGTCAATGCAGAGACGTATGCCCCCAGACCATTTTCGTACAATCAAAAGATTTGATACCCAAGGGGAAGCATCGATGGGCTCAATGAGGTCTGCAGCTAGCATGCCCTGCAGTTCAGTGGTGACCTTGTCGCGCATGGCGAGAGGCACTAGTCGCAGTGGTTGGATTACAGGCAGTACAATACAATACAATACAAGTTTATTTATATAGCACATTTAAAAACAACTGGTGTTGACCAAAGTGCGTTACAAGGCTAAAAGAAACAGGCAATAATGACACAAAGCATTTAAGCACTAGAGGAACAATAAAAGTAAGATAAAAATAAATAAAAGCCTGAAATAAGATAAAATAGAGGAGAAAAGCTAGAATCAAAATATATTAATGTCAATATGAGTCAAGGGATATTGAAAGCCACAGAAAAAAAGGTATGTTTTCAAGGTGGATTTAAAAGTTGACAAGGTTTGGGCAGATCTGATGTAGGCCGGAAGGCTATTCCATAACTTAGGACCGATGACCGCAAATGCACGATCACTCCTGTTTTTAAGTCTGGTTCTAGGAACATATTGTAAATCAGAGTCCCTAGATCTAAGTGATCTAGACTGTGAAGGTGAATGCAGTAGTTCAGATAGGTACTGTGGTGCCTGATTCCGCAAAGACTTAAAAACAAATAACAAAACTTTGAAATCAATTCTGTATTTGACCGGTAGCCAATGAAGTGAAATCAGAACCGGTGTGATATGATCACTTTTACGCTTCCCTTTGAGGAGCCGGGCTGCGGCATTTTGAACTAACTGTAGGCGTGTCACACATGTCTGAGAGGCACCAATGTACAAAGAGTTACAATAGTCTAGTCGAGATGTTACAAATGCATGCATGACAGTTTCGAAATTCTTACCAGACAAAAAGGGCTTAACCTTTGCTAAAAGACGAAGATGATAGAAACAAGACCTAACCACAGCACATATATGCTTATCAAATTTAAGACCCAGATTCCGAACACAGGTGGTACTGTAAGGTAACAGAGTATTGAGATCAACATCATGAATGCTGTGATCATTTGAACCAAAAAAGATAATTTCAGTCTTACTCTCATTAAATCTTAAGAATTTACGAGCAAGCCAGAGTTTCAGTTCGTCTAAGCAGTCTAATATAGGCTTATTATTAATAAAGGCAAGCTTATCGTCACGCTTTATAGGCAGATAAATTTGTGTGTCGTCAGCATACAGATGAAAAGATACACCATATCTAGATAAAATAGAACCCAAAGGTAGCATGTAGAGATTAAACAGTACCGGGCCAAGAATAGAGTCCTGAGGGACAGCAGAACTTAATGTTTATCAGAGGAAGAATGGTGCCCGAGGCAGACAGAGTAACTCCTATTGGTTAAATATGAACGAAACCATTGGAACACCATACCCCGAAGGCCCACACATGCTTCTAGACGTGATAGGAGAATATTGTGATTGACCAGGTCAAATGCAGAGCTAAGGTCTAGCAAGACCAAAGCCACAGACTGCCCGGTATCAGTGGTGAGCATTACATCATTCATGACTCTTAAGAGGGCCGATTCGGTGTTGTGACGGGCTTTAAAACCAGACTGAAATTTCTCTTTTATATTGTTATCATTCAAAAAAGGCAAAAGTAGGCTCAGGACCACTTTTTCTACATTTTTTGAGAGTAAAGGTAAATTTGAGATTGGGTGAAAATTACTCAAAAGCGAAGGATTCAAATTTGTTTTTTAAAGATGAGGCAGAACAGAGGCATGTTTAAGGCAGTCGGGTACGGTCCCAGTAAAAAGACATTTGTTGATGACAGACAACAAATCAGGGCCAATAGCTTAAAAACTTGCTTAAGAAAATGTGTAGGAATCACATCCTGAGGGCAGCTAATAGGTTTTAAACAAGCAACAATCTCATTAAGAGAGTCCAAGGTGATAGGCTCAAAGACAGACCATGTAGAACAGCAGAGAGGAACATAGGTTGGTGTATAGGCTGACAAAGGCATTAGAGATTTCATCTGTGAGATCTTATAATTAAAATATCTCGCAAAATCCTCACAAAGAGAATCAGATGTCTCAGGAAAATGATTAATAGTGGAATTTAGAGCAGAATCAATGATTGAAAATAGGGCTTTAGGCCTAGTAGTGTTGCATAAAATTAACTCTGAGAGATATTTACACTTAGCAGCATTAGCAACTCGCTGAAATGCCGAGAGGGAGTCCTTTAAGATTTCATAGGAAACTTGTAATCTATCCTTATTCCACTTACGTTCAGCCCTTCTACAGGTCTGTCTGAGAGAACGAGCAACAACATCTAAAATATTAGAACAGGTGAAATTAAAAAAGTTGAAGTGTTCGTCAGCATCTAGATAACTTAAACATGAGTCCATGTCCTGATTGGCACGTAGTTCCGAATATATAGCTGTAAAATCATCACTAGAGCAATCGGAAAAGACACGAGTCAGCCGTGAACGGGGTTGTTGCTTATGTGTAGTTCCAGTAAAAGGTAAAGAGAACAAGATTGACAAATGATCCGACATGCCTGTGTCTAAGATGTTAATGTCCAATACAGGTAAACCACGTGATAGAATTAAGTCCAAAGTATGACCCTGAATATGAGTGGGCCCAGACACCCACTGATCAAAATCAAATGAGTGAGACTTTGAAACTCTTTAGAGAGTGGCTTAAAGTCACAGCATACGTGGATATTAAAATCTCCCAAGATTAAGATTCTTTCATGGCTGGTAACAATATCCCCAGAAACTTGTTGAGAAAATCCTTGTATGGATGGGTCGGGCGATAAACCAAGGCAAACACCACTGAGTAATTTAATGTGGGCTGAAGCAACAGCACTTCAAAGGTGCAATGAGGGCTTGTTGTTAAACAGCGGCAGAAATAAGAGTTTTTAAACTGCTGCTAGTCCCCCACCGCGGCCTGATAGCCTGATAGGTGAATTAAAAAAATTACAGTCCTGTGGAAACAGTTCAGTGAACGGACTTAACTCACCAGGTTTAATCCAAGTTTCAGTAATGCATAAGATATCCAGGGCGCGAGACGTGAAGAAGTCGTTTAATATAAATGTCTTGTTCACCACTGACCGTGCATTGATCAAAGCCACCTTAAGTAGCGATGCGGCTTTCTCTGGCTGTGTAGAATGTTTTAGCAGTCAGAGGTTGAAAAGATTCAATCCACGGCGACGAATGTGGGGGGAGAGATCACGTGATGGCACCGACGAAAAGCGTGGAACAACAGGTCAAAGCCACTGATAAGATGTGCTCGCAGGACACCAAAGAACGCGCCGACCAATACACATAGACGGAGACCGTGTAAGAGATTTCAGCCGAACAGCGGCTGGTTCACTTACGTCGGTGCTCGTGCTGGGGCTGGTGTTGTTTGGATGCCGATTTTGGAAAGTTTTTGCTGGGATGGGCATTTAAAAAAATCTGAAATTCGCTTTTGCGCCATTATCTCCTTGTATTAAAGTTAATCTTGTTCGCATTCTGTACAGTTCATGTCTGATACCACGCGCTAGCGTCACGTGTTCATGAGGATTAGGCTAATCATCCCATATAGAAAACATCACAAGTAAAAGAAATCATGTTTATAAAGATAAATATGGGTTTATTATAGTCCACTTATAATTTACATTTCAGAGATCATTACAAATACATTACATGCTAAAACTGAATACATTTCAATGAACAAACTTGGCCTTGCATTTGCAACCATGTGAAAACAGGGGGTGCTGCAGCCCCCTCAGCACCCCTACTTCCCGCATCCCTGGTTATTACTTAAATATTAAATAAGTTCTTAAAGGGATAGTTCACCCAAAAATGAAAATTGTCATCATTTACTCAACATCATGTCATTTCAAACCTGTATTAATTTCTTTCCTCTGTGGAACATAAAATAAGATAAATTCAGAAATTCAAGAAATTCCATATAGTAGAAATCAAGGGTAACCAAAATGGTTTGGTAACGTTCTACAAAATATCTTTTGTGTTCTACAGAAGAAACTAAGTCATTGGAATGACATGAGGGTGAGGAAATGATGACAGAATTTATTAGCAATACATTTCGTGCATTCTAGCTCAAAATCAATGCTTTACTGTCAAGTGGATTTCTATGTGACAAAAATGCATTAAGTTTGTTGCATTTGTCGTGAATTCAGTAATATCTATTATTATTTACTCCAATTAAAGGCCCTGTAACCCAGTAAAACATTCATGGGCGAACTCGTGGGCCAGATGGGCTGGATTTGTCCAGGCTCGAATTTTAACCCCAGTCCAGCCTTCTTCAGAGGTGATGGTTGTAACTCAACATCAGAGAAAATTTTCTTGTAGGTGGCCATATTAAGCAATGACACTTTAGCTCCCGTGTCAAGAAGCAGTGAAATGCAACAGTCTTTCAGCTGCACACCACATGTGGAGAAAGTGACTGAGTGAGGACCAACTGTATGAATTACTGCTGGTGAAGGCTGCGAACTGGACTTTGATCTGCACCACCTTGCAACCTTGGTTGAGCTTAACACCATGTCTACACTTTTGGCTGATAGCTGGGCAATCTGGGGACCTGTTGGCATGACGAATGGAGCCACAGTTGCCACATCTCCGTCTTTGTTGACTTGACTGAGGCTGTGTTTGCTGGATGATTGCACCTGCAGGCTGGAGCTCCTCAATGATTGCACCTGCAGGCTGGAACTCCTCATCCATGACTGTATTTGCAGGTACAGAGGTGACATCAGTTTTAGCTGCATTAGTCTCTGCTATTTTAGCTGCACACCATGTAGCTTCTTCGATTTGGAGTTCCTGAGTGAGAGCCTTATCCAAAATAAGTTTATAATTTTCCATAAGCAGCCTCTCTCTGACCCGTGCGCTGTTTGTTTTTTCAATAAGTTGGTCTCTAATTAATTCATCACGGAGAGCACCAAATTTGCATGGCTCCACAAGGCTTTTTAAATCAACGACAAACTGACTGGCTGACACACTCGATTGTTGGCATCTTTGTCTGAAATGTAAGCGTTTCAACAGCACACTATGAGTCTTTTGAAAATGTCCTTTTAGTTGTGCAACAGCTTCAGAGTATGTATTTGCAGCGTAGAGCGTCTGGAAGATCCGTAATCCCTCAGCGCCGAGACAATGGAGGAGAAGTGCACGTTTTCTCCCATCCGGGACATCATACAAGCCCGCAGCTACAAGGTACGTCTGAAACAACACATACCAGCGCTCCCACGGCATGACAGGTTCACCAGCGTGGGGCAGAAATGGCTCAGGGGGAGGTAGAGATAAAGCCATCCTCGTCGCTAAATGTTACGTTCAACAAAACACATACAAACAGAGCTTTGGCAGAATGCCAGTTTACTCAATGAACTTCAGCGGCAACAGTCACGGAATGTGGTACAACTGTATTAGAGACTGTATGAATGCGTTGGTTGCTGTTACGGTACTAAATCACCTTAGAGTGTCAGTTACTACAAGTGATGTCCAGTGACCAAGAGAGTAATGAAACAGGCAGTTGTATCTCAGTTTTATCAATTTACTCTTTTAGAGGCTGAGTATCAAGAGATCAACTCCATATACTCACATACTCATGATTTAAAGAGATCACATAAGTGCAAATAAACCATCCAAATAAGGAGCGTAGGCCTACACAAATAATAACTGAAAACAAATAGTTACAACGGATTTAGACATCAAGTATACACAATCTTGCAATTATGCAGGGAGAAACAATGAGTACAACAGTCCTGGTTGATTTTCACAGTCGCAGGAAACATTCAGATGTATGGTTAACAGTGAACTTGGGCGTTGAGCTGTAGTCTCGGGTCCACTTATGCACAATATCCGATGAGAATAAATGCAAAGGTCCACAAAATGTCTATGAATGTTTGTTACTGCAAACGGATCTTGTTCGTGTGGTGTGTATAATTCTTGAGTGTGGTTTGTCTTCAATGACGCACATTCAAAATCCTCGCGAGGCAAACTTCGGCGAGAGATTATTAACGGGAACGCACCATCAGCCGTCGATCAAGATCACGAATATTCTCCCTACAGTTCACAACGTGAAATCGCTGCAGGATGACATCTTAGTTCGGATTAATTCACGACTTTCATATGCAACAGCAGGACCTTCTGATTCTCTCCGTCACGACTGAACTTCAGCCCTCTCCCTTCCGACGACTTGAGTTCCAGTATTTCGAGGATTGTCCCAAACACTGACATCTGTTACAACAAAATATGGTTTTTAGGCCCTCCAAAGCTACATAACCTTGATCTTGAGTAAACTAAAATGCTGCATGTAAACATGGTATGAGAGAAAAATAATCAGATTCTCACTGGAATAAATCAAAGAAGGGTCAGATGTGAAACTTTTCTCAGAGGACATGCGCTTCTGTAAGTGTGGATTCTGGTCAAGCATCTGGAAGGTTATTTGTCTCCATGGACAAGGCCACTGCAGCTGGTCATCATATACACCAGATACCAGACGAACATATATTGAAAGGTAATTCTGATACACACTTAAACCAGCCTGAAAGCGATAACCATCACTGGAGTAATACAACGGACTGTACATCCAAGTGCCAAACACACTGTTGTTCAAAACCTTCTCAAAGTCTCTTATCTGCCATGTGTGGGGACACTCAGTCTCTGAAATATTGATATCATCCAGTGAAAATCCTCCACTGGAGTTTCCAGCTCCTTTACGGGCTTCAAACACAACTTGGAAGGTTTTATTTGCATGTAGTGGCACATGATGCAGCTTCCAGTAATTGCTAGGGGGTTCTGCAAGAAATTAAACTGTCAGTAATGTAGAATATTTGAGGACCAGCTTGAAATATAGATATAGGTCTACATGTGTTGTTACTATTATTATTTAAATCTACACAGTATTTAAACCAGGACAGAGACTGGCCTGTGATCTGATCCATAAGTCTGAGAGTTCCTCTGCTGTCTGCTTCATTCTGATATTCTCGGATCCAGATGTTTAGCTGGTCAGACTCATGGCCACTGTGATAGTAGTAGAACTACAGGCACTGGACTTTGCAGTCTCTTTTAGGGGTCATTGTCTTGCTTTCCATTTTGGCTGCATCTCCCTCATTTCTGCCCTCAGTGCTGAAGTGCATGAAGAAAGACGTCCCTGCAGACATTAAAACAGGTGTATTGTGCAGAACTGGATGGTACAGTGACTGCAACTGTAGTTGGAAGTGATGCATTACTTTTTGGGCATTAAAAATAGTTTATCTTACATCCTAAAGTTTCTTTCTGTGAATAAGCACACACTGTCAAAAAAGAAACTTCACATTCTCAGACAGACTGTAACAGATCTCACCATTTTGTTCTTTGCCCAAGTATGTGTGGTCAGTCACACTGATGCCACTCACTGACTTCACTCTCTGCCAGCCATAATCACCAGCAGAACAGACACTCATCTGACACAGAGATTCATCATCAAAACTACAGTGATCAAGGAAAGAGATGGACGAATCTGTAATGCAAATATTTGAGGCAAAACAAATCATTATAACTTCTATTCATAACATGTTTTCTATGGTCTCCCTTGCATCAGACATT